TGATATAGAACTGTAAGTGGCCTTAATGTTTGTTTTTTCACCTAAAGATTAACATCCCAACGGCTAGCTATACATAGTTTCTTGCCATTGACTAACCATACGTGAAGAAAACATAAAATCCACTATATAAAAATAAGGCAAAACTGGCAAGGTAAAGCACCTGTTGGAAATAATTCACAACTTTTCAAATAAACTGTTAAAATCTCTTGCCCAAGCACACAGCTGAATATAATGCTACCTGCTAAATTTCAGTTGGTAATGTGATTACAACTGTTGGGGACAAAATGCTCTGTTATGGAACAAGCTCGTCTTTAAGGTACCTTGACACGTACCACCCTCCTACACACTGCTGCAGACCAGACACAAACATCCATATGGTAATAGCACCCATCCTTCCCCAGCAGGACAACGCTCCCTGCCATACTGCAGCAAGCGTTCAGGAACAGCTCGAGGAACACGACAAAGAGCCCACGGCACTGACCCGGTCTCCAAACTTCCCAGATCCCAATCTGATCTAACAACAAGCTCGACCCACAGCCCCTAAACAGTCCTGTACCAACATCTAGGCTTCGGCTACCACCGTACATACCCAGAGTCCCTATGTCCATGCCCCAACATGCCCCAACAGGCAGGTTGTTTTAATGTTGTGGTTGATCAGTGAAGGCAACATGTTACTCTTTGATGGCATATTGGCAAACATGAGCCACAGTACTAAATAAAATTGAACTTCTTGATTTTTTAAAAAATATTAGCTATTCACATTAACATCAATATTAACGATAAAAGTATATTTTTCAAGCAGTACTTGAACATTCCACGTCCTGTTACAGATTTTACAAGATAAAAGACGTGGCATCCAGATCTGATAAGCAAAGACAATGTGGAAGTGCCTAAAACCTGCATTCTTTCTAACAGCTGGTAGGGGGCGACTCCTCTGGTTACAAAAACACGGTTCTTTTTTTAATTTCTCACTTAAGTTGTTACCTGAATAAACATTTTCTAAATACATTTCTGGGCTCATAAGTTTCCTCCCTTGATGTTAATTTTGTAAATTATGTAAAACAGGTAAAAAAAAGAAAAGAAAGGGATGTTTTCGGGTGGGGCTCTCTGCGTTTGTAAAGTCGCTACCGTATGTGGTGTCCCTGATTCTCAGTAAGATCCACAACTTGTTTGTCAAAAACAACTATTTGGAAACGGTCAAATGCTAAAATCAAGGCTTCAAAATTCCAGTGCACAAACTAATGTGTGATATCATCAAATGGTAGCCAGTGTCTGTAGCAGCAACAGAAGTTCTGCACTTTTTTACTTTAGGTGATGTGGTAACAGTCGGTACTGCACGCTATGTGGCTCAGGCTTGTCATTACTAAAGAAATGGCTGTAAAACAATGAATTATTTTACTCAGTGAAATGGCTGTTGGTATTAACACAATTTTAGTATAAGGAAAGACAGTGTGGAACTAGCAGGAATTCAGAGGACATTCATGTGCATACTACATGGATTAAAAAATGCAGAAGCCTGAAGAAGCGAGTGACTTATTGGAATGAATGGGATGCCATCTTTGAGTACAGTACTCTTAGTACAACCACACTTCATTTCTTGGAATTTTACACCCGGCTTATTGGCTCGCAGGCCTTGTGTTCCCAAGAGTAAAGTCTACAGCTGGGTTTTGTTAGTGCATAGCTTTGCATTCGGAGGCAGGAACACTGTCAATATGAGCTTGTTCATGTGACAGATTCGCACTGATGCTGAAATGAAGTAGGTGGGAGCTGTATTTGGCTTCTCAGCTCACTGCGTGGAGCTGAACTGTGACATGAGAGGACAGCAACAGGACACATACAGAAATGAACACTGTGGAAAAGCCATTTCCACTCATTTCTATTGTGTTTCCCCAACATCAGGCTGTGACGGGATGGAAAATAGAGCCATGGCTTGCAGCTGAATTTCAATTAGGCGTCACTCAGGGATGCACATGACACATTGTGTTGACTAGCCAAAAGCACGCACAACTTTGATTACTTTCAGATTTCTGATAAAGCAGAAGAATAAATCCGTCACGCAGATTTATGTGTTGAATGACAATCTCAACCCAGATGCAGATACAGATGCATATTAAGTGACGATGAAGTTAAATAACTTCTCTTCTCAGCAGCAGACTTAATAATTGTACTATTCAAATTGCTGTGCTGCTACAGTTATCAATCAGAAAGGGAAATCACTTTAATCCCCCCCATCTGTATATGTGATTGAATTATCCAAAAACCTTAATTAGTTCCAGTCCCTCTAGTTGCTTTCTACATTATGTCATCATCCTACACTGAGCAGGTTTAGAAGAGAACCGGTTTGGTGAAGGAGCCAAACAACAGCCACAATATCAGACATCAACACTGCTTTGCTTCCTTTTCCGGATTCCTGAAGGTGAAGAAGGGTTCAACAAAACAGAATTGCTTCCAGCTCCAAGAACAAGATGATATTATTTTTGAATGTGAGCAGCAACTCTGTCACTGGTTATATGATCCCAATTAACCATGTTTTCTGCCGTCCCAGCCATCAGTGATGAATGAGATCTGCAGCTCCTTCCTGCAGTCACACTGAAACCCATCATTCAAAGTTCATTTCCACTCAAATCCTTCCTTCTCCTCGAAAAACCTGGAAGAGCGCCGCACATCTGTGCATCTCTGGAGGATAACATCACCAACTCCATTTCCTCCACAGTCCGGCTGTAATCCTGCGCTCTATCTTTCGTCTTCCCTCTTGACTCCTATGTCAAACCAACTAAACAAGACTTGAAATTAAGAGCAACATCTCCCCCCCCCAAGAAGACTTTTCTGCAAAGTACGGCAGGCATGGTTTCTGAAAACATGTTTTTTCAGATTTATGTGCGTGCTGACCTAACAGAGTTTTGAAGACAGAGTACATCTCGTTCAAAACTCATCTGGATCGATCTCGCTGCCTTTCACTGAGGGGAAGACATGACTGAAACCATAAAAAAAGTGTTGGGTGATAAATGTTGATTCAGAGCCTCTGTGTCACACACATGTGCTTCAGCCCACAGAGCCATCGGGAAGCCCTTTACTGTACGTAATTACATTTGAAGGCAGTCTGTCTGCCGAGTGAATCACGTGCTGTAGGCTCTGAAGCCAATATAGAATCACATACTGTACAAAATGAAGTTCCTCACTCACTCTAACACTTCAGTTTGTACTCTGTACTCAAAACTTCATAAGACTGACATTATTTTTTTATATGTTAAACCTGAAGTACCAGCATGAACTAGTTATTGAAATCCCAAATCTCCCTTTAACAGGTTTAGCCATACTATCTTTTGGGTATGATGAACCTCTACTGACCAAAACAGTTGCTGACATTATTAATGGAAGTCAGATGTGGCAGGAATTGAGCGATTAGACCATCTGACAGGTTGCAAACAAGCCAAGTTGTTTTTGGTACTAATCGCATACGACTGCTCAACTACATCAAGTACAGCAGGCCAAAGTCAAACAACAAACTTGGCAGCTATTTTCAAAGCCAGAAAGCTTGTTTTTTTTTCATCTGACTTCTTTCTAGTGATGATGAATTGTCAATAAAAATGTTCTTATTTCAAGATTTTTCTGCTTCTGTAACAAGACGTGTGTCTGACAAACTCACCACACACGAGTTTAAGACACAGCTGTCAAGTTGAAGGTATTTGCAGGTCAAACAATCTCTCGGGGAGAAAGAAGCAACAGTAAGTCTTGTTTGTACACACTCATGTGGTCACCTGCTTTGCTGTCAATCACAGAGAGTCTTCTTCCTGAAGGGGGTGTGGTTTGAAAGTCACAGACACTGAAACAGGCTGTTCAGAACAGAGCTGAGAGCAGGAGTTGTATATGTATTAGTGGTGGATGTGATTTTTTTTTAAAATTCATTGAATTAATTAGAGGCTTTGTAATTAATCAATCACGATTTTTATCGAATATTTGACACAATAAGCAAAGTTTTTCAATTTAAATAAATTGTCAACTGAATCAATGAGTAAACAACAAAAATGTTTCAGCTGCTTTTTTCATCTGTCTTCTACATTCACAGATTAGTGCAAACTAAAAGTGCAGTTATAACGATTATATTCAACATTTTAAGACTTTTTGTCTTAAAACTATTTGTTGCATAATTTGCACACAACCATGCTCTCCATACGTGTCCACAGGATCCGTCTATTTCTCAATTCCCATTCATTGTCTAAGTGAAACGTCCCCACCGTGTTCTGGAGCATTTCGAGCGACGAGGCGTAGAACAGAACTCATTTGCATAAAGTAGACTTGACTTCAACTTTATGCAAATTTGGCACATTTTGGTAAAATCACGCCTGTGGACACGTAGCATTAGGCCAACCCAACAAGCCAAGCAATGAGGTCTCATCTTCATCAGTGTTCACCAAACTTTCTTGTGTGCAGACATCACTCAATGCAGCCTGTGCATCTTCTTCACGGCAAACAAACCCTCGATGCGTTAGCGCTTCCTACCAGACTGGATTGTGTGCATCGGTGTTACCGGTGTGCCGGAAATTAGGGAACTGAGAAAGGTGTGATTATTAAATGCATTGATTTGTTTAACATGTCCCAGCCCTAATATATATTTACAGCATTTTCTACTAAAAATTAAAAGACACATTCTGGGGACATGTGAAACTATCTAATAATAATTTACTGAAAAAGAACCCAATGTGGAACCTTTAATTTCTTTTTGATTTTCCTCCCCTATCCCAATCCAAACAAGCCTGCAGAGCCAGAAAAAGCCTGATGTGAAAAGGGCCCACGAAACAATCCAGAGGACACAATAAATCTGTTGCCAACATTCTGGAGGCAGACACCACAGGACAACTCCACAGGTCCCTTGTCCAGGAACCACAGAGTCAATATTAGGCAGATGATTTTAATACTGAGGCTTATTTAATGTATGTGCAGACGGAGGGAGCGCTTCTAGTTAGCTGCAGCTAATGTCTGTGTATGAGGCACACAAAAACTCCATTAGTTAATTTGATGTGAATGCTGTAAGTGGGACATTCAGTTCATAAAGCTGCAGCCTGCCGAGTGTGAAGAATTACCTTTGAGGAGAACTTTAGGTGAACTTCAGCTTCATCTGCCAGGCTCTTCTTCAGCTGGGCCCAAGCCTCCCCCAGAGTCCTGAGAACAGATAAGTAGGAGGAAAAGAGAGAGAGAGTGTCTTTAATATCTTACACAAGAGAGGACCACACACACTTCTTGCAGAAAGACATTCAGGGAGGGCAGGAAGACTGTCAAGGAAATGGGGGGTAAGACAGAGCAGGAGAGGGGGAGGTGGGGGGGAGTCCTATCACACAGTAATCCACACATGGATGGGGTTCACGAGCAGTCAGTGTAAAAGTTCACGGACACACAAGCAACCGGTAAATCTGGAGGGCTGAGCTTGAGGTCCACAGCCAGTTCAGCTGACGATTAGGACGTATGGGACATGAGATATGGCTTCATTTCTTCTCTAGTGCAGCTCTTCAACACAGCTGGGGGCAATAACGCAGGAGAGGCTCACATTGTTTAGAATAGAAGTGTTCAAATGAAGTAAGCACACAACGTAACAATCACATCCAAGTTGTCTTCTTAGCAGGCCAGACATTTGTTCTGAATTAGAGAAAGTGAGCAGCTCATGGCAGAAAGCCTCGTCCTGTTCCTTCAGCATGAGGACTGTAAAACAATCAGCCGGCAGGCAGGCAGGCAGTCACAGGCACGAGGCTTTAGGTCCACAACTGACGGTCTTTATGGGTAAGCGGGTCACTTCAAAGCGTCGCTCTGAATGGAAGACATGTGTGGAATTCCCTTACACTGACATCCAAAACATTCCTAACGCTGTCAGAGTAAAGTCTGGCACCTGCAACGCTACGCCATCAAAAACTGGTCTGAAACATTCCGAGCTTCTAAAATCACATTCAGAGATGATTTCACAGCTTATGCTTCCTGACCACCTTCTGTAAACCAGGGAAGAGAAAAAAAAATACCACAAATACTGACAATCACACAGCAAGTTTGGCAGTCCAGTTGGGTCACTGCATATTCACATTTACATCTGTTTTCCTTTACAGTGAACATGTTAAAGTATTAAATATAAAACTTCCTGAATGCTTCTTGTCCACAAGCGTCCCATAAGTTGCTTTGTCTTTATTCTATAATGACAGTGGGTTTGTTTTTCTTTTTTTTTTACCTCAGATATTTTGTAAAACCAAAGTATTGGAACTTTTTAAATAAATATTTCTGCACAATTAAGAGCACATTTTTACACAGAGCAGTGACACACAACGGCAAGCTTTGAAAGGGTTTCTGTAAAATTATTGCAGCCCTTTGGTCATTCCATACATGGCTTACGCAGCACTAGGACAGTCAGATTGGAGACTTTGCATATGCGTTCATTTAATAATGAAAGCTGCTGTGGCTTGAACTGATTCGGTTTCAGTTTCACTCAGGAGCAACAGTGGTTTGGTTAAAATGAAGACAGTTGGGAGCATAAAGAGACACAGCCACCACGGCTGAACAAAGAACAGAGCAGAAAGAGAAATTTCTTGTACTCTAGCAAAGCCTCTGTTCAGTGTCACTCACCAAAATACACTGGGTCTGTCCTAGAAGCCAAACCAATGTGCGAAATTTTGTGGCAAATTACTGCTTTGCCCAACCAACTCTCCACAATCCAAAAATGATCAATTCACTATAATGTAGAACAACGAAGAGCAGCAAACCTCACATTTAAAAACCTTCATCCATCAAATGTTCTGCATTCTTGCTTGAAAACTGACTTAACCAATTCACTGATTATCAAAATATCGAATAATTGACTAACTATTGCAGCTTCACTCCAAATTATGTCTTCTTTTGTTTTGTTTTGTTTTGTTGTGAGCAGAAAAATGACGCCTAAAACCCAATTAAAAGTTGTTGCAGTCTCGAGATTGTAGTCACTGAGTCTTGCGATCCCACTGCCGGGCTCCACGGTTGGGAATTTTTCTTCCTTAACCTTTTCTCCTGTCATCTGCATCTTGCTAGAAAAATATAGTTTTGAGGAAAACAGAATCCTTGAAGATGATCTCATCCTGCAGCAGCACAAATGAACAGAAAATGTAAATACTAAAGCGATTTTTTTTTGTAACTGCCAGACCCCGCTGTGCCTCCGGTTCCCTAACTGTGTTATATCCCACCCATACATGTTAATTCAACGTTTGAAGCTTGGAGAGACGCTGCTGACTGAAGCCAAGCCAGACTGAAAGCTCATACAGGTGCAGCGTGTTCTCCACCTTTAAACATGAAATGTTCTAGGAAATTGAGCTTTTGTGTCTTATGGTTCCAAGCTGTAAACGCTGCTCCACTCCAAATGTTCTTTACACTCAATAAATGACATCTGTCATGTGCCTGCAGTCTTACATTCTCTATCGACCCACAATCACTTGCCAACAAAATGCTGTATCTCGGGTAGAATGAATCTGCTGCCCTCCATTCAACACCACTGATACAGTACAGAATTGGTAGATATAAAAAAAAGTGGTCACATGCTCCACTGCCACATCTCTACCAAACAAATGGTAAATTCAGGAATAAATAGACGGCTGGTTCTGGGCTGCGGCCGGTCGGATGGTAGGAACCGACCAACAAAACAGCGATTGTCCTGTCTGACAACAGAGCCGGCCTGAGGGAGAGCATAATGAAAGTACTGTGTTGCACTTTTGTGAGTGTGGGCAGACTGAGCCGGCTGGCATAATCTGGATTCTATATGGGACAATTCCATCCCACTCTCTGTTACCGTGCTAATATGAAGAGGAGTTATCTTACATGCATGTAAACACTGCAGGGGAGCCAAAGCCTTGCTCCACCATGCTTGCTACTCACTCATTTATGTTTGTTCCTATTTTACTTCTAGAATGTGAAATAAAGTGCACAGACTAATAACTTCTAGCATTTAAATGTAGCATCCAAGTAGGGAGGAGTCTCCATAACAATAATTATATTAGCATGCATTTATATATTGCCTTTCAAAGGACCCATGGATGCTTAAGACACACGGAGAGCAGAAAATGACGGCGACAGTGCTCGCTGTGGAGACTGCATCAGCTCAGACCAAAGGCCTCGGTCAACTGGTGGGTTCTGAAGAGTTTTCCGAAAGTCACAATAGAAGCAGCATTGTGGATTTCTGCCAGGAATGAGTTTCAAAGAGTGAGGGCTGTCCATAGACTGTTTACAAGGATGGACGTCGGCACCATGACGTCAGCCATTGGTTGGTGGACCACAGTTTCAAAACCTCAAGTTTTTTTTTATATGTCTGCATATAAGAAAGTAAATCACCATCACACATGATTTACAGGTAAAATATAGGCATAGACTGCTTATGAAAGTTAAACATGGCCTCCAGATCTGAAAAATAAAACCACCATGGAAGTGCTTCAAACCTGCATTATTTCTAACAGCCAGCAGGGGGCGACTCCCCGAGAAGTCTGATTATATTCAAATCTATGAGAAAATGAGCCTGCTTCAGAAAACATTTTCCTCATATTTATTTTATTCAAGACAGTTTAAATGCAGTATTAAGGTAATTTAGTAAATTATGGTCCCTTGTAGACTAAAGTAGACAATAAAGTGGGTGACATAAGGCTATCTTGTGATCAACAGGATATATCTGGACAATATCTTACATCATGCCTACTGTTCCTAGATTATCAGTCAGATCCACCACTCGCTTGTTAGTGTCTAGCTTCAAAAGACTACAATGGTAACAACCAAATGTGAAACTCAAGGCTTCAAAACAGTCGTTCACAAACCAGTGGGGGATGCTACGGTCGCTACATCCATCTTTTACATGCAGTCTATGCAAGGGAGGCATCAGTGGCTTCCTGTTTTTTTTTTTTCTTTTTTGCAATGTTTGGTGATTCTGTTGCTATATATTGTCACTGCAAATGATCACATCATGACTTTACGCAATACTTTGAAAGGTTACCAAAAGTTGTGCCTCAACAGTATTTACAGGATCAATAGCATTAATATTTAACATGAAAGTTGATCCTTGAGCATGTAAAGAATCTGAGGGTCACAGCATGAGATGAAAGACAAAAAAAGAACCACAGTAACTGATTTATACATTGATGAAGTAGTGCTAAGTCCAGACTTTAAGCCTATTTATGAACATAAAGTACCAATGGACCCTATTATTAAACATGGTTCTCAGAGCAGAGTCATTCTTTTCGTGTTGCTACGCAGTGTTTCCTCGTGGAATCTCTTAATAAAGATGAGTTCAATAACGTTGCCGTGGGCAGCATCTGCAGCCATGTCCCTCTCGGCTTCCTGTTACTTTCCATGTTCCTCCGTCCCCTCGGTGAATCAGACAAAGAGCTGCCCTCAGCGTGATATCCCCTCTGCTGTCAAACAGGAGAAAAGAGGAGTGGCTGCAAGCGCTCTCTCTCCCTGCAGGGTTTCCCCCAGACTCCCCCACCCTCCGTCTACTGCTAACACTCAGCCCACCCTCACATGTGTCTGCGCCTCCTTCTCCTCTGCTCGCTCTTATTAACCGGACTCGGCTGCAGGACGGAGATCAAAGCGTCCACAGGTTTAAAAGCAGGCCGTGCTGTTTCATAGCATCGCTGACAGGGGCCTGCAGACCGAGGCTCACACTGGGATGTCTCGCCTGGTTGGCTGCTCCACTGGTTTGCTCGCCGAGGAGCCGTCTACCTGACTGGGTAACCGGCCGACTAATTAGACATCACAACTTCATTTAGACCTAGCAAAATCCCTCGCGGCAGATGTTAACGCTAGATTGTTCATCTTCTAAATGCAAATTGTGTGAAAGGTAAAGTTTCATTCATAAGCAAAACACAGTGGAACACATTTACAAGTTTTGCTCCTACAGCCTTATCTGCAGCTGTTGTGTTAGCTCAGATTATCAAATTTCCAAATCATGATTAATCAGTAATTCCTCTAAGCAGACCATATTACCAAAGTTGGCTTCTGTGTACACGTATTATAATCTTTTAAATACATTTGCTATATGTCGTGAACATAAACATAACCTCCTTTAACTTTTATTTGTTACAGAGATGCTCACTGTACTTGGTCTACTGTTACACAACACTTTAGCATCCATCATCATCCTGTGAGAGTCACTTGTGCCCACACCTTTGAGAAAAGTCACTATAATTACCATGAATCAGCCATAATCTGCTCAGACTTTTAGTTATTTTTTCTATTACATGTAGCCGAATGCCAAATTAGCATATTCTAGTTGCTTTTTGTTCTCATCCATTTGAGCTGGAACCAGTCCCTAAAAACTCATCCCTCTGTGTTACAGTTACATTTTCAGACATTTTTTTCCATGAAAATAATTCCTTCCAGTGTCAGAATACCGAAACCCCATATATATATATATATTACTGTGAAAAGAACATACACTCCACTTTATGCAGATTCATAATGGCGATCATAATTTAAACATAAAATAATATAGATCTACTGCTTCGTCATACAAGATAAATACAGTATGGACACAAATTACCAATGTAGCCTATAGTTTTTTCACAAGATAATAAATGAATTAAACAGTCCATAGCCAGTGATACACTGCTATGTAAAAACAGCTAAAAAATAAATATATTCAACCATCAGCAGTGATTAGACGGCGTCGCCACTGGCTGCAGCGGCTTACAGCTTTAAGTGTGTTTTTGTGTTGCACTGAGTGGGATTGCACCCAATTTCGTTGTACTTTTTTGGTATAATGACATTAAAGGATTCTGATTCTTCTGAATAGCACGTATGTGTGGATATGAATATGTCTCCAGCCATCCCTCCACAGTGCGCCTGCAGCTCGAGCACACCAGCTCACCTACCACTCTGTTCAAACATTGTAAAACTGCTCTACGCTACACAATAGCAAGTGGTAACATTGGAGTAATTCAGCCACACATGTTTAATCTGGAAAACACACCGAAGTAGACGAGTGAATTGTGCACGGTTCCCAACAAGTTAAACATCAACTGCTCTCTACAACATTAGGAAGGTAACAGTAATGTAACAGAAAGGCAACAGATAACAAGAGAGTGTAGTTTGCCCACATTAACAAACAGGTAATAATGTGTTGCTAATGTTGTGTGGCTTGTGTTGTGAATTAAACTGGATGAAGCTGAATAAGGAAAACACCAGGATTGAGTTTTTAGGTTTGTTATATATGAAATCTTGGAAATCTGATGTGTGTTTTTGAGGCTGTCAGTGGTACACTGCAGTTTTAAGGTGGAAATACTCAGTTATGACTGCTTATTTCACTGTGTCTTCTAACATATAGAAAATACAACATGGACACAGTAAAAAAGCATCTTTAAATCTTTAAGTGATAGACTTTGTTCTCAGATGACCATCTGATGGATCAACTGTCTTCAGTGTTTCCTTTCAAACATTTCTATATTTTCCCAGATTGTCAATCATCCATCGTTGGATTTCTAACAGCTTCATGGCTGTTCTTCTGTATCAGATTGCAACCTTTGACCTCCCTGGGAAGAAATATGCCCTCTGTAGTGAAATAAAGTATCACATTATTATTACTACAAAACATACTGAAGAGGAATGAACCCAAAAACACAGAATTTACAGCCTCCGCAACTCCAAAGCAGCTTCACAGTAGGAAGTCTGGCAGGCTGCTTTTCAAGTGTTGACGTGCACTTTTTTGAGTATTGATTCATGCAGCCATGTGTGTGACAAGCTCGTCTCAGATGAGAGGGAGGGGGGGATGTCTTTCTCCTTCACAATCACTCACCCTTCTTCCTGGCCGGCTAGAGGGATCTGGGAGAGCTTGGAGAGATTCTTGGCATACTCCTCTTCTATCTTTATCCTGAGAGGGAAGTAGAGAGTTTGATTACCACACAGCCTTTATGCAACGCTGACTGTTTCCATGTGCGCTTCCTGTGTTGTGCAACACGGTGATATACATGAATGAGCACAAAAAAGGGGGGAAACGGTTTGTTTTAATGACAACTGCATGGTTTTCATGGTAACCTGGAGGCAAAGTGTGCAAAAAAAAGAAAAGGGGGATGGCAGATTAAAAAGCGGATACCTTTCTCGTATGAACTCGGCCATCTCTTTCTGCATCTGTTTCCCCTTCAGCTGTTTCTGCAGCAAAACCTCGAATCCTGTGATGCAGCCGTTGCCCTGGGGATCCTTCTTATCGGTCTAAGAGATAAACACAGCGAGCACACGAGAAAATGCATTGATCAAACAAACACTTAGCAGCAAACATGAGAACGTTACACCTCGACAAAGTAGCCGGTGAAACAAACGGCCGGCTCCCTCCAATACACAACAGATAAAGTTAACTGAAACACTCACAGTCACACAGTGGATACGACTTAGTTGGCTTTTGCTGAAATAAAGTTCATAAACACTAAATAACTAATAATTGCAACAATAATTTACTGGTTAGTTAGTGTTTCATGCACCTGTTTTATGGAATATTCATGACGACATGCATTCATTCATTCATTCATTCATTCATTCATTCATTCATTCATTCATTCATTCATTCATTCATTCATTTTGTAATCACTGGCTGCTCATTTTAAAGCTTCACCCAACAATTTCATGTCAACAATAGTTAAAATTACTGCATAGAATATGAAAAGCCTGATTTGTGGTCACGACAAAGAACTATCACCCAACTCTCCAGGATCCTTCAGCTCTGAAAAGCATTTTAACTTCTTTTAGCTCATTGTTTTGGTTTTAGGTTACACACCTTTAATGTTTTCTCATACCTTTCATCAAACCATCAACAGGCTGCCATTTTCAGAATAAAGCTCCAATAAACCAGCTTCACACTGTTTGCCCATCACCAGCCTCAGCTTTTATTAGTGTTGCAGCATATTTCAGCTTCACTGGCCACAAGTTTATCGTTTTGATTTGAGTTTTAATTTAGTTTTTTTCCATCAATACATTGTGAGCAACATTAAGTAGGATGCTTTTTTTTTTAACAGAACAGATATGACAAATGCATTGCATGCTACCTGTATGCTAATACCTTAGGGATATATTTTCAAACAGACAAGTGAATTATAGATCTTTATAATACAAAACCTAAAATATAAAACATGAATATATCATAAATAACAATACTTGTATATACACTGTTGTCCATAAAGTTGGAATATACATTTTTTTTTTACCTCTTGTCATGGAATAATTGTGACAATGTGATTTATTCTTGATAGATAAAGTAATATCACAATATGCATACAATACATATCACAGTAAAAATGTAACCACATTAACTTTTACACACTGTGTATTCAGGCGTAAACTAAATTTGTGGTTTGAACAATAGGATTATGGGTTTAGTTTCAGTTTTTCAACCTTGGTCATATAACAGGAAACACATATTCGAGGGGATTTCATGCATTAGAATGTCCAATATTACACTTTCAAATGTCTCTCAGTCACTAATATTGAGTCTGGCCACCCCTGACACGGATCAATGCTTTAAGACATGGTGGCATACTGTCCTCCAGCTTGTTGATGGTGTCAATGGACAGGACGTCCCACTCTTCAGTCACATCCTGAATTCAGAATTAGTTTCATCTGGTAACTGGGACTCAGTATGTGATCATTGCACCTGGTCAGAACTTATTACTGATGTGTAGAAATAGAAATAAAAAGCACAATGTGTCTGCAAACAAAAATTATTCCAACTTTGTAGGCAACAGTGTATTATATATGCATTTGGAGTGTGGTGCTTATAGCTCATTCCATTGTCCTCAAGTGCATTAAAAAATCAATGAAAGCTTTAAATAACAGACAGTAATACAAGCTGCTGCTGTCTGAAAGGTTTTTTTCATCATCCTGACAGCACAAGCGACTTTGAGTCACTTTTCCGTTCAACTCCGACTTGGAATTAAATTACTTTTAACACAAGGCCACATTACTGCTCATAATGATCCATTTAGTCGTCCAAACCATAAACTGTATATAAAGATGGATGACGTGACATCTCTGTTCTAACCGACAGACACGTCTCTCCAGCAGAGACGCAACCAGCGTAGCCATCGCCACAAATCAGGACATTAGCTGCTTTCACCACGGCTGATGTTACAGCAACGGCTAGCGGCTGAGCTAGGAGGCAGCCACGGATGACCTCAAACAGTGTCTGGAAAACAGTAACTAATAATGCTTTAAGATTTGAGCTTTAGTGGACAAAAAAGGTACAACAGAACAGAGTTAGAAGAACAGCAGACGGAACTGCAGCAGAGAACTGATCTCTATCAGTTGATCTCACAGAAAATGAGAGGATTCAAACATCATCACTCCTATTTTTATTGCACATATTCGGTTATAATAATCCCTATTAATGGAAACGCCTAGCCATGAATGGCCTGAACCCTGCTATCACATGCTGTTAATATCCAATATTCAACATCGGCCCTGAGGAAACCATATCGGTCGATCTCTACTTCACATTCTAACCTGCCCTTCCCTGACTCTGCCGTCCACTTTCTCTGCTCACCCTTCCTTTCTATCGTGTTGTCACCTCTGTCGGCATGACTACACAGTGTTAGCCACACCTGGTAGAGATTACACTGCAGGGGTGGGAGATGTCCAAACAGAGCAGAGCAGGCCAGCTGGCTCGCCGCGCTGCAGCCGCTTACATGTAATGTATTATCCTGCTGCACAGTGTGTTGGATCTTATTAAAGCCGATGCTGATTCTCAGCGTGCAGCGCAGCCTGGACGAGATAAATATGGAGTCATGTTGGAAGATGAAAAGGATCCAGTGTTGTTTTTGTTCCCATGGACTTGCAGGGATTTCCATTTGGTGATTTATTGGGGAGAGTGGCAGTGTCAACAAAGGCAGAGTTCATAGTTTTGTTTTTTTATTGTTTTGGTTGCAACTTGTTTCTCATTTATGAATTTACTCCTCATTGTGGGGCACCCCTATAGCTCACCTGGTTGAGTGGGCGATCCATGAATAGGGGCTATAGTTCCTCGGTGCAGCGTTCGTGAGTTCGATTCCTGCTCTTGACAGCTTGCTGCAAGGTCTCTCCCCACTCTTCTCCCCCCTTTCCTGTCTCACTCTCTCACTGTCCTGGCTAATAAAGGCAAAAACGCCAGAAAAATAATCTAAAAAAGAATTTACTCCTCACTGTCTTCCCCTCTGTCTGGGCGTTTGTCGTGATCCGAATAACTGGCCCATTAATCTATCTTCCATGTGGTCCTCTCTGACTCTCTTAGATTTTTTGGTGCTCACTTGTCAGGTCTGCAGCTATTTTGAATCATCGTAACAATGGTGGCAATTTTTAAAGAAAATCCACAAAGGCCTTGACCAGCTGATAAACTATCTACAATGTTTCAACTCCTGTTTTCTGTATTGTGATCTCAGCAACCTGCCTCCTAGTTACTATACTCTGGAATCTCACTGGTTCACCCAAAGGAACACAAACAAGTATGTGAACAATCCTTCAGTCTCTGCATGGGTAGAAGAGCAGTACAGGCTTTTGGTTCCAGGTGAGATTTCCTTAGTTCAGGATACCCTGTGATCCAAACAGTTACTGTCAGAAGGCTGTTCATGTCTGCAAACTTTAACTCCCAGGACAAAAAATTCCAGACACAAGTTCTGCATTTCTCTTACACACCTTACACTGAAAATAGCAGGAAGTCAATGGTTGGTTTTTCTTAGTAACAGTTTTAAGTCTCTGCTATACGACAAACATACCCAACCATGGCCCCAAAGCCGAGGTACATACTGACAATCCCTTGCATCCCTAATCCATCGCTTAAGGGTTGGGCTACTGGACTTGATCTACCCCTCTCTAATTTAGTACCAACACCAAGAAAACCTAACACCATCTCACACAACAGTGCTAAATCCTCCCTTCATGGAGGTCATTATGTTCACTTTTTGTTTGTGAGAGCTCAAGACATAGTTTGTGTCGCCGTTGAACCGGATTGTATTATGCGGAGAGGTGTTTCTGTTGTTTTGCCCATTCAAGTATTAGAAACACCCGTCAGTACAACACAATTCAATTGCAGCCTCTGCAACCACCATAAAGTTCAATCAACATCTCTCTACAACAAGTTCAACAAAAATCAAACGTATTAACAGGAGGAAATCTTGCAGGGCTTCTGTATGCATTAGTGTTTTAACTGTGTGTACCTGATAGCTGGATGTAGAGGTTTGTGCAATGGGCAGAACACCGATTTACAGCCTCTTAAAATCAATCTTTGGGCAATGACGAAACCCCTAAACTACACAAAAAAATTACATATTTAGAATTTTGTTTTCTATGATATATGACTTAAAACTAAATTCGAGCCCCTCTCCCTATCCACACCTTCACTGATTGCTGCTTACAAGCTAAAACTTTGCTCAGCCACTGTAAAACTATTTTACGCTACACAATGGCAAGCTGCAATATCGAAATAATTTAGTCATGCAAGTGTGGACCCGAAACCGATTCTGAAGAAAATTAATGGCACCAAAAGCTTCACCCTGGATTCTTAGGTGTTACACATGAGGCCCAGAAAGTCTGAATCCCTGTTTTTGAAAGTGTTAGTTTTAAAACTGACACACTTAACCATGACATCGACTGATTATTTTCGTCGTTATGAGTTGAAACCACCTTATTGATCGGAAAACAAGGTAAAAATAAAAACTTTTTTCCAGGGCAAGTCATGAAAAGATAAACTTACCCAGAAGTAGTCACAGTAGCTCCATTCGCTTGGTTTCAGCAGCTGTTGCTCGGGCATGCAGGCAGGTGATGGGAACGTCACACAGTTAATCTGCAAGACAGAGAGAGAGAGAGGACCACCGGGAGGGTAGTTTAATGGATCAGTTTATAGGATCATGACAAAAAACTCTGCTTTAATGCCAGTGTACTGTTCACCAGCGCGGTTAGTGCTCCATGTGTTGACAGGCAGTTAACACACACACACACATTTTGCGTTGGTATTCAAGGTAGTCTGCACTCTGTTGCTTTGGCAACACTCTCATCTCTGCAACTACGAGAAGACGCCAAAGTAAAGAAGACACTTCCAATCGACCCAGCATTGTTCATTCACTTTTCTCTATGCTCGCCGTCCTTGGGGACAGGATTGCAAATACAGAGCCTTTGCGGTTCACAGCCTTTTTTTGAAATGTATTCTTGAGCTCTCCAGCGTAACACTCTCTACGCTACTTTGGGCCACAGCAATCAGCAAAATGGATTCCAAAAGATTGCCTTTAATTATCCTGGAGCTGCTAATTGTCAGCAGCAGGGATGTTGAATGCGTCGGCTGCAGGCCTCCCTGCTGTAAAGCACTCGGGGTTATGTTTTGTAGGACTATTTGCAGTACATGACACTCTGATACTCTCTGCTTTTAGAGTTTTTCTTTCAAGTTTTACGCTGGTAAGGAAGGTGGAGGACAACCCTCTGTCGTCTCTACCTGGAGAAACACATTCACATGGAAGAAGAACATTGTCAGATCTCACAGCTGCGTTGACAAATCATCACTTCCAGGTTTAGCAGAACAAAAAGTCTAGTTTGCAATGAAAATGAAAAACTCGGCGTGCACATTCTTCAGCTGCCAACTCAAGTTTTCATGACGAGAAAAAGAAGAAAAAGACAAAAACCACACATCTCAGAAAATATGTGAAGAGACATGTCTTCAGAATGAAGAGACAGACACCAGGTTTAACTCAAGGGCAAACAAAAGGAGCTTTATCTTCTGTCACATTCATTCCAATTAACCTCGGGAGGTAAACAGCCTGCAGCGAGGATGCACAGTTTCTATTTAAAAATCTTTCAGTGGCACCCTTGTCTAATGCCAAAGACTTTCCTTTCAGAGCAAACTGACAAATACAGTTCTGCTAATGACTTTTCCAGAACCAATATACATATTGAAATGGCAGGAAGAAGAAGAAAAAGGCCTCTAATTCAACCTTATCTTGGCTTATGAAGCTTATAATTTGTTTGAGGGAATGGCTTCCTATTTAATCACTGCGGAGGTCCAGAGGTTGACAGCTCGCGGGGCTTCAAACTGACCCCTGCTTCCTCTAGTAAAGATGAAGGCAAGGCGACATCCAACAGTCTCCAATGAAAGGCTTAGTTTGTTTGCGCTCACACCCACACACACACATACACATGGCTTTCAGCACTTTCTTTCCTGACTTTTGGTGGCCTTACCAACTTAGCCCTCCTCCAAGTAGTGAAAGTTGAACACTCAGGCACACCAAGCTTTGAAACACATGTTTGAGCAGTGTTCATGATAGAGGATATACAGTATTCAAACAGTTTGGAAAGTGGTGCCACAAATATATTAGCAAACTTTTACCTAATAGATAGAAGCTGAAAATGTCCAGGTAGTTAGTTTTCTAGTCTAAATTGTAACAACTTAAAAGGTCAAAATTTGCACGGCATAGTTGTCTTGTGTGATTACAAGTTGCGTTCAAAAATGCTCATGTCTGCTGCATGAGAGCTCTCAGATGTTACTACACCAGAGTTGAGGCTAACATTAGCAGCTTTCGTTTTTTCCAGATTCAGGGACGTTTACCGTCTAGCAACCTCAGACAAACTCGTTACGTGGTGGTGCTAGTAAAACTCATCGTTAGCCGTCATACTCAAAGACTATTCTCTTGTAAAAATGAAACAGGATTTAACTGTAGACAATAAGGCGTAAATCTGAAGTTGTTTTTTTATTGAAGTATGTTTTTTGACAGGATGCTATGGAAGCTTTTTTCCTCTGCCAAACAAACATGTAGCTTTCGCCTCTTTTCATGAAATCTCATGTCTGTAGCCACAATGTTTGTGCTTTTACAGGGTTCTGGTTTAAAAGCAGAGCTGATCGTGGGCCCATGGTGCTACAGCTACCATAGACTAAGGTCTGGACAACCTGCACAACCAACAGTAAAGCTAGTTAGAGGGTTGTTCACATAGTTATGAAGTGTCACATCCAGTAACGACTATTTTTCTGGAGGACTTTTTTTGCAGAACCATTTCCCTCCAGCTGCTGTTCCCATACAAGTTAATTTTAACAGGACAACACAAACCGTGTAGCTTCTCCAAACGCTAACCATTGAGTGTCAGTTAAAAGCATCGCTCGTCATCGGTTGCTGACTAGAAATGAGAACCCACTATTTCTGTCTGACATCAAAATCTCATTGTTTCAAAAATGACAAAAATAATATTGTGATTAACCTGCTAGACACCTCTTGAAGATGTCGTTGTCGTACCAGCTAGCATATCGCTTATCAGTTAGCAAAATCATCAGGGGTCAAGTCAGAGTCAAAGTGATGAGTCGGTAGTCTTGCTGAAAACTTTTTTTTCAATTAAAATTAAACATAGTATTAAAGTATAATGTATAGAATACAAACAATGTTGCTAACCCATCTAACTTTTGTTTTGTTTCTCAAGCATTACTCCATTATAAGGCTCTGAGCTCTGCGGCAATAAAATAATTCTGCCTTTACTTTCATTTAGCTTCAACCCAAGCTAGTCTGTGACCCCATTTGAAAAACTGTTTCAAAAAAAGAAATGAAAATTAACCCCGTTAAGCCTGAACCATGAAATAATTGCCAGATTTTTGTGTTTATTGAACCTTCTGACAAATTAAAAAAAAAAATCACATTGAAGATGAAGAGGTCTCAAAAACTTGGGTATCAAATGGCGCTACAGGTTTAAGAAGGACCTTCCAACCAGTTAGATAGTAAAAGCTTGGTGACGAGCTTAAAATAAGAAATCTCCTTCGACTGCTTCTTCTTCTTCTAGACATCAAGAACCCACTGCTGTAAAGAACACCTAAGTGGTAAGTCTGCAGCCATTATCACTGTCAGCTGCATATGTCCCATGTAGGAAAAAAACAGGACGTATCCAAGGGTCACCTGACCCCTTCAAGTCCTGACCTTCAGCAGATAGCATTAATAACAGTTGTATCAAGTGTTGCTGTCTTCATCTCTCTTTCTATCATGCTTCCTGTTACAGTCATCTGTTTATCAGCAGCATCCCTCTGGTTGCTATGGAGGCCATGAAATGCCTCCTTCACCTCAGGTTTGTGTTTTTATATGCACAGTGACAAAAATATTCCTGAGAAAATAAAAATGAGAGAATAATCCGTGACCTCCCATCAGCAGCATCTCTGCTATTTACGCCAGCGCTAGGCCAAACAGGATGCAATGACCTGACAACAGTGGAGAAATCAGCTGGATCCTGGATAGGATGATGTCACCGACTATCTGTACACTAGCAACTAAAAAAACACACGCCAAACACTTCTCACAGCAGAGAATGGACAAGAAAAACAGTGAAAGCCTCACTGATGAATATATGAAAGACATGTACAGCTGTCGTAAAGCCAAAGCACAGTTGGCATGACATCTATGATATCTATGCATTAATGTATAACTCATGCAGCAAACATGTGACTGGAAAAAATGAAATCCACCAGGGACATCTGCACTCCTGGAAACTGTGTTGTTCTCTTTGATCCTCTCCAAACTTGGGAGAAATGTATTTAAGCTCTCCCCAGCTGGTATGAAACCTGCTCCTTCAGGGCCACTGTGGAGATCTGGCTGAGTTCATGGTTAGTTAGGAGTTCCCATTAGTTGCCCCCACTCACCGTGACCGTGGTCTCCTTGTTCTGTTTCCTGGTGGGCGACGTCGATCCCGGGCTCTGCAGAAACAAGAAGGACGCTCCATCAAAACCTCCGTCCTCCGTGTCAGACATGACTGCTCGACATACGCACACCGCCACTTGCACACACACATAAACACAGTTGCTCTCCTGGCGAGCGCTGCTAGCGTCTGACTCTCTCTGCTGCTGCTGCTGCTGCCGCCGCCGCTGCTGGTGTGTATGTTTGTGTGTTTTTGTGTGTGTGTTGCTGTGCAGAGTAGGGAGGATAGTTCTGCAGAGCAAAGCAAAGCATGGTTTGCTGTCTCTCTCTTTGTGTGTGACTGTGGATGCATGTCTGTGTGAGTGAGTGAGTGAGTGATTTCCAACACTTAAGCGTAGAATAGAGTAATTTCCAGTGCCCTGGCACAAACCAGCAGCGTGTGAGTGTACAGTGGGCACAGAAATTAGCAAAGCAAAAAAGTGCAAATAGACAGCAAGATGAAAAGTACGGGGGGGATTTTGACGCCTCTTCTCATGCAAATGAATTAAAGATAGAAAAGAGAACAGGACCTTGAATCATCAGTGTGTGATTTTAGTTTTTGAATGACTGGGTGTGTGTGCGTGAGTGCGTAATGCAGAAAAGGAGAGAAGTGAGGAGGCTGAGACTGAATAAGTGGTGGGTGGATCCTGTATATCTGCACCCTGACGGCCTGGTTAATTATGATCAAGGGAGCAGATACTGTAGGAGGGATTAATCCGCTCTAACTGCCATCAGCCTCTCCATTAATAATGAGAGAGGTGGTTTAATCATGTGAAATGTGGAAAGACTTCATCATATGTCATTATTACTTCTGTAATTTATCTTTGCGACTGTATAAAGCTGCACGAAGAAATAAGTTGTTGTGTACACGGTTTGCTCGCATTAATAAGCTGCTTACTAGAAGAGGGCGAAGTATTGAACCTTAAAGCTGCATTATTCAATGTTTTTAAATGTAAAATGCATCAAATTACTTTATGTAATATGAAAAAGGACACTTGCAGTGACAAAACCACAGGGAATTATCAGTTAAAACTGTAGCTGCCCTCAGCTGTGCAGAACATTTTACTGTGTTTTATGTTTTATCTCATTAGTTTGTTTTGTTTTGATGGCCTGCTGTTTTGGTTCAGTCTCACGGCTCTCATCAACCCTGTTAGTAGTTTTTCTCTTATTTGTGCATTAAAAAGGTAGAAAAACTGACTGTAAGTTATTCGCTCTGCACCAAACAGCAGCTGTGTAAATCTAGCAACAAGCTAATATATAAAGCGGAGCCTTTAGCAACTAAAGAGCCACATATTTGTCTCAGGAGTTTATGGGGAAACAAAACAGTGCTAAAAGAAGACGAGGTTATAGGTTTATAATTTGTAAAGTATTATAGCCTGAAATGTGAAAAGTGTGAAATGTTTCTGCATATTTACTCGGGAGTTAAAGTCGGGATTAAGTCGGGATCATTTATTGCTCATACTTTAGTTGCATTTTTCACAATTAACTTAAAACTTGACGATCAAAATTGTATTTGTTAAATAGTTTCAGGCACTTAATTAAAGCCTCTACAAAGCCAATGTTCCACCCTAACAGGAGTTTTCACTTTGCCTAATTTTCCTGTTCTCTGCTTGCTATCTCCCCTGTACTTTTGTTAGTTTTATTACACTTGCCACGACTAATAATAAGTAATCCGGTAATGTGCAATGGAAAAAGGTAGCTGGCAGCATCTGTGACCTGAACTTCCTCTCCTGATGTGTGAACTCAATCATATTTTTGTGCCTGTTTTCTGAGCGTGAGTGAAGCTGAGGATCCTAACAAGCAGTTATTTACATGCAGTGGAGGACACATAGTATTTAAACAGTAGTTTAAGTGTCTGTGAAAAGCCCAGCAGGATGAAATGTTTGAGGGCACGAAGATGTTTTTTCTGTATAATGCTGCTGTATAATGTGGTTCCATGTTACAATACTGCATGCTTTCTAAGATTCATCATAACATATTTAGCAAGTGCACTAATGTGTGTTGAGCACATTGGATTACATGTGAAACCAATGGAACTGCAATTGACTTTGACCCTCTGACTTACACATAAAGATTGCATTTGGTTGTACAATGACAGGAAAGTTTAATTTCTTCTTTTTTTCCACAGGTGATTCTATGGGTTTCACACATATACACCATGAAATATTCCAAAAGCACGTTTCCTGTATAAAAAGTACACGTTTCACACGTGTTCCACATATTTCACGTGTGGATTTAACATGTGTTAAGGAAGGGAAATTTAAGGAACTCACGCAACAAAGGAGAGATTGGTCAAAATCTCAAGCTACAAAAGCACTGAATAATGCAACCAAAAGCATCCTTCCTGTTAGACAAGTGTTTCCTAGTAAATAACATCTTTCTAACACATGTTTTCTGGTTAAAAAAAAATAAAAAAAAACAGTCACATGTGTATCATGTTGTCAAGGATTACAAAGAACAAAACGTCAGACAGATTTACCTGAGGCTCTGTGCTGCTCTTCCTAACCAGACTGTTGTGCGAGTGCTCCACATGATGCAAGGGACTACCACCTGAGTGAAATCCGTTCACTGCAGAAACAAATGAGGGAGACAGAAAAAGACAGGCAGAAGAAAAGGAATGTCATTAGTTTTTCAGTGTGGAAATGAGCTGTAAATATGTTCTTATCAAGAGGAAATGTACTTATTTTAATAAGCTGAACCAAGATGGGGTTGAACCAGATTTGGGATTTTGTAGTGGCTTTCGACTGTAGGAAGCCAAAGTTGGCACGAGGTGGTGTGAACATGTACAGGAAGAACCCCCTCACTGGTGCTTTCAGCCTTTCTGATTTCATTGTGCAGGTTCCAACAGCTTTGACAGTGACTTCAAGTGCACCAAAACAACACGCAACTCCAGTTCTATGATATTTGGCATGTTAGTCCATACTATAGGTAGATAGGCTATAGGTAGGCAGTAGCTCAGATGGTAGAGCAGGTTGTCTTCTAATTGCAAGGTTGTTGGTTCAATCCCCTGCCCTTCCAAAGTCGAAATGTCCTTGGACAAGACACTGAATCCTAGGTTGCTCCCAATGGCAGGCAAGCAACTTGCATGGCAGCTCTGTCGCCATTGGTGTATGAATGTGTATCTACTCTCAGATGTACGTCGATAAAAGACAAAAGACAAAGACAACATGTCTCCATCCATTATCTACACACCACTTCATCCCGAAGGACCCTGAGAGAACCCACGCTGCACAGGGTGAACATGTAAACTCCACGCAGAAAGATCCCAGGTATCCTAACTGGGATGCGAACCGGGGACCTTTTAGCTGTGAGGCGACGGTCCTACCCACTGAGCCGATATAAGACAGAAGACTGCTACTGAACATAGACATCGAGAAGGCTAAATATGGCACTTGTTGTCCTCTCTGACTTTACCCAATCAAGTATCTACCCTGGAGAAGGGAACGATGTTCTACAAGGGCAGTTCTTGCGGTTGGAACAAAATGGTTTAAGCCGCTCCAAAAACAGCCTGCAGGTTCCTGCAGTGGAAAATGGCTGAATGTCTTTGATGGGCAGGACAGCTTGTTAGATTACACTAGCTATTCAGAAATCTCTTCAGAAGCATGTGTGACCACTTGAAGTTGGCTCCAAAAGTCACGTCCATGTTAAAATGTCATCTTACAGCCTGGTACAAAACAATTTTGGTCTATATCTTCTAGTCACTTTAAGTAACAGGTGGGTGCCGTCACAGCGAAGCCCTTTAAAGCCCAGAGATGTCTGCATGACCTGCTTCGGTTCTTTACGATACACCTGTTTGCTCATTTTTGGATTAGCCGGGAGTTATGATGCACTGGCAGGATGCAAAAAGTCAGTCATAAGTCAGGTCAGTACCAATCACATTCCATGTTAGGCACAGCACATTAGTCAGTGTGAATGGTACACTATCACATAGTAGGACCCTGAGTACAGGTGCGCCACAGGGCTGCGTAAGCTCACCAGTTTTATTTACATTATATACAAATGGATGCAGGAGGCTATATCCAGTAAATTAGATTTTAAAATTTTCAGATGACACTGTAATTTTATCCTTACTAAATAAGGATGGCACCACAACTAAATACAAGACATTCAAAGATTCGCTGAATGGTGTGACGATACACATCTAGTGTTAAACACAAGCAAAACAAAAGAAATTTAGTTTGACCCCTGGGGGATTGGTGACCACAGACCAGTGGTCATCCATGATCAAACCATTGCTCAAGTTAACACTTGGTGGGGGTTTCTACTGATAACACATTAACCTATAGCACACAAGTTGAGCATTTGTGCAGTACATTGCAGCAATGACTGTATGTCCTGCGTCGCTTAAGACTCCATGGAGTGGATAAAAAGATCATGACAATCTTCTACCATGCAGTGCTGGAGAGTGTGGTCAGATACAGCATCCCAGCTTGGTACAGCAGCCTCTCCGTTCAGCTGAAAAACAAGCTGCTGCATCTTGTCCACACTGCATGGAAAATCATAGGTGAGCAGGGGCACCCCTCCCTACAAGACACCTATGAACAGGGTGCACTGCGCCTGGCCAACAAGATCCTGAGTGATCCACTACATGCTCGGTACTCAGAGTATGAGTGGAATTATTCATTTTATTCTGCTTTTACTTGATGCATGCATATATTTATTTATTCTATCTATTAACTGTATTTTCCCTGATTGTGTCTGCTTGTGTTGGCTGCAGCATGGGTGAAACAGCCCAAGACAAATTTCCCACACCTGGGACAAGAAAGTTAATCTTGAATCTTGATGTTTTTTTGTTTTGTTTTGTCTGTGTGGTGTCATGCATTCACATTCAGAATGTTGTTTACACAATAGGCATGCATTTTCTCATTCTTTCACGATGCCTTTCAAAGTATCTATGAGAGATGTTGCTGTTTGAGTTGCGATGAAGCTCAGCAATCATTTATAACAATAGCGAAGGCCGCTTCCAACATTTTCACTGCTTCATAGCGGGGAAACATCTAACAAACTTTACTGGTTCTGTCAGTTTGTCTGCCTTTAGGAGCAGCGCCAGCAGACAGACAGAGGAGGCCTTAGTTCTGCTGTTGAGGCTACAGATAAAGTTAGTCACAGGAAGTGTCTGTGTGGTGTGTGTGAGCGAGTGCTTTGTGCCACTGTGGAATTTTAGGAGAATTCACTGCCCCGGAGCACTAAAGTTGAAGTGAAAGAGATTGAGATGGAGAAACAGACATGCAGTACCTGCTGGCAGCGAGTTCTTGTGTCGGAAGGAGTTTTTTGGGGTCCCTGGTACGCTGGACGGTCTCTCCCATGTTGTCTCTGAGGGGCGTTCAGAAAAAAAAGAAAAAGGCATTAGGACAGTAACACCAGCTGCCACATTCTGTTGACAGAGTTGGAACTATTTTTGGGCAACAATAAGAAGAAGTGATTCCATCCATAGATGCAAACTTGGCATTTATTGCATTCAGCGGTTAAATTAGTACAAAGCAGATCTTGTGTTGTTCTGCCTCATTTTGACATGTAGACATATAATCTGAAGTGGTGCCTGACAAGACAGGAGCTGGTCGACAACCAGTTACTGTATGATGATCAGAGAGATACTTCAGTTTCATTTATTTATTTCTGGAAGTTGCCTACAGCCTGTGCAGCTGCAGAACTCAGCACGGTACCATTTTAGTGGCGTTTCTTTGGTTGCTATTGTTGCAAACTTTGCCAGAAGACGAATATGAATAATAACATTAGCAAAACATGCTAATAGCAATTTAAAAAGCTATTTAAACCTCTGTATTGCTAGCGCAATTAAAAACCTGTAGTTTGCATAATAAAGACCTCGCAATTTTGCTAAATAATATGGTTTGTAAATATAAATAAAAGTATTAGCATTTTTACAACAAAGACCATTGAACTTTATTGTGGTATAAAATCCTGCATAGCTGATGCTGAATTCGAGCACCATTTTTGGTGTAATAAGAAATATTAAATGAAAAGTAGAGTCGTTGCCTCGCAGCTAGAGTGTCGCCGGTTTGCATCCCAGTGAGGACACCCGGGATCTTTCTGCGTGGAGTTTGCATGTTCTCCCCGCGCAGTGTGGGTTCTCTCCGGGTTCTCCGGCTTCTTCCCACAAGGTTCAAAAACATGTTGAGCCTAATTGGTGATTTTAAATAGTCCGTAGGTGTGAATGTGAGTGTACTTGGTTGTCTGTCTCTAAGTGTAGCCCTGTGATAGACTGGTGACCTGTCCAGGGTGTCCTCTGCCTTCACCCTAAGTCAGCTGGGATAGACTCCAGCCCCCCTGTGACCCTAGTGAGGATTAAGAGGTGTATAGATAATGGATGGATGGATGGATGGATGGACAAGGTAGAGATATTTATTTCAGTATTGTCTGCTGGTACTACTTAACAAAACTGCCTGTATGCAGCCTGAGAGGTGAAACTCGGGGCAAAGAACACGGGAGGCATTTACTGCTGCTCGTAAATCTGATCAATATTAAGGTCACTCCATGCTTCCTGTTCGTGTCCATGAACAGCTGTGGTCTCAAACTCAACACAGTCGACTTGCAGATGCTTCTATACAATCGGAGTGATGCACACGCAGACACGTTCCACACATGTGCACCAGAAAACATGACGGCAATCACCTGACTGCAGAGGAAGAGTTGCTTTGTTCATTGTGTTCGGCTGGACAGTGTGTCCAACCGTGTAACAATAGGACCGAGGGTGTGGAAGAGAGTCCATACATCATGAAATTCATATGGTGCATGAAACGAGCGTCCAGTTTATTGTTCTGGCACATGCACCCTCTGTACAGGGCTCTGTGAAAGCTTCAGACAACCATTTACTTCCTTTAAGTCAAAAACAGCACCACAGTTTAGGATATTAGATGAAATGAAAATACAAAATATAGTAGAATGTATTTGTATTTTGATGGTCCAGCAGCTAGAAAACATTGTTTTGGTATCAAAGTACTTTTTCCCATGTTTTTTGTCTTTTTTATCACTCATCCTTTGTCTTCTCTGTTGTCAGCTGAACACAGCAGGTACAAGCTTTTGACCAAACAAAATGAGAAACACATTCTCGGATGCTGCAGAGATTTCTTTTGATACATCTCCATCGCCTGTCCCCGTTTCATTCCTACAGGAAAACTTGCCGGAGAACGCCGGTTACAAAAAGCATGACTGACAAAGGCCCCTAACTCAGAGGAGCTCTCTTCCATTTCTACTCCCATATGTCCATTCTTGCCGCAGCGCTGAGCTCAATTAGCCCCTTTGCTGTGAGTGTAGAAAGAAGAGGCGCAGACATGTAAAGAGCTCTTATTTCATTTGGGTCTTTTTGGCTGCCTCTGCTCTATTTGGCACTTCTTAGCAGAGCCGACAACTGAGCCAAGCCCATCAGCTCAAATGACACGCATGGAGGGGATAACTGGCAGCGGGCTCACCGAGCGAGGCTGCGCATTCGTGTTTGATGTACAACACCGGGGCAGAACCTGCACTCACGGCCACTAAATGTATCAATTCCTCTCCGTTAGCTTGTCGTAAACAAATCAATACCGAGAGAAATGTAGGATATTATTGCAGGAAAATATTGTATAATCTTCTTAGCTGGGGGAAATTGCTTGTTATTGTGATTTCATGGCTTGCCAGAGGGACAGCAGTCCAAACACCATTTAAAAAGCCTATTTGTATTACATTTGCTATGTGGATAATGCCAGATTTAAACCAAAGTGATAAATTAGGTTATGATATCAATATTATTAACAATTGAACAAGCCCTACAGTATATTTCAGTCCTATTAACCACCTTTTTTTATATCTATTGCAAGGTATAAGGTGTGAATTCCCACATATTTACTATGATGCTTAACCCCCGAGTGGAACAGGTCGAGTTTCTAGGCAACAGAATCTAAAAATGCAGATTGCTAATGATTTCTGTCAGTTTTTTTTTACACAACTCAGGGATCAGTCCTGCTACTTTCAGAGTCATTCCTCCAGATACAGGGATGCAGCAGCAGGAGTAATTCTCATCAGCTGCCTTGTCACTGACGAGCCGAGGTCTAAAAAGTCGTCAATCATCCTAAATTACTTTGACAATCTTGATTATGGAATATAAAGCCGAGTCAGCTCAGTTTTCTCACTTTCACGTTTGAGGCGCAGCTCATCCGCCCCTTTCAGGCTTCACATGGATCCTAATGATGTGAATTCATGATATCAATGACAGCGTGAAGCCTCCAGTGATTCAGGCTGCATCAGGATGAGCTCTTTTGTGGAACATAAAAAGCATTCATCTTTTTTTCAGATTTCCTCAAACTTCAACACATTTTCATGTTGCACACGTGACTCGGCAGAGTGTGGTTGACAACGGAAGGCGGTGGTCGCGCTGCAACAGACGTCTATGCAAATTTATGAATGAAACCAGTCGACAGCAGGTTCAAAAACAAAAACAACACATCAGCTGACTGTCCACGGTACCCACCACGCTGTGAGTAATGCGACATCCCGAAATGTGAATAGGGAGAAGCAGAAATGGCCTAGTTAGCTCTGACACTGCTATATTTTATTCATAACCATATGACACAGGTCCCTGATGCATTAGCTGCCTCCTGTCTCTGGATTTTATCAGTCAATGCAGCATACACAACGTGTATTATCCCCTGACAGGCTGTTCCAAAGTGGGAAAGCAATATGAAAAAAGAATCTAAATAGCACTATTACTTGGCAGAAAAGTTTGTGTATCGACGCATGAGGAAGGTGACAAAGTGCAGTAGAAACAGACTTAGTGAGCACAGTTCAACTGGGATTTGTAAAGACGGGGAGCTGGTGTCCATAGAGGTCACAGAATATACAGGAGGAAGTAGAAATATGGACGATTTCTTCAGTAGATGGGTTGAATGTGGGCTGTCCAGATAAACTATGTATACAGTCGTCCTCAGATTTATTCATACCCTCTCATTAAAGACGGTGAAAACAGCTGTCAATGGAATAAGCTGAAATTGACAAAAGTCATTGAAAATCATTACGTTGCTTTTAAATTGTGGTTTAATAGAAATATTAAAAGAGAAACAACAACAACAACAAAAACAAGCAAACTAGCATGATGGGACCCATAAACTAATGTTTTGTTGAACGACCCTTTGAGCCAATCACTGCAATCAAGTGTTTTCTGTAACTCAATCAGACTTCTGCACCTGTTGACAGGTATTTGGATGTTGACCCACTGCTCATCAGCAAAGTGCTCTAATTTGTCTGGGAGTTTTTTTTTTGTTTTTTTTTTTTAATTATTCTTCTAAACCACAATTCAAAAGCTATGTCTTATTTCACAAAATTATAATTTAGAATTTATTTATTTATTTTCAGTTTGCGACCCGACTCCGGATAAGCGGGAGAAGATGGATGGATGGATAGTTTATTGAGTGACTATTGGGAATTTCGCCTTTTCTTTAATGGAAGGGTATGAATAAATGTGAGGATGACTGTATAAACATATATAGACCATCCAGCATCATGAAGTGCTTTAATTCGCACTCAGCTCTCGACATTTTAGAGAGAGAGAGAGAGAGAGAGAGAGAGACTGATCATCCCTCAGTCTGTTAGGAGCATACTGTATATGTCCTCATCCTAACAGCCATTAAATTTAATTTCAGCCACATTTCATTAAATTTACAGGCTACATAAAAATAGCTTAGGTATGTATTGCGCTCCCTTCAAAAATACATGGAAACTGAGGGGACTGTGTGTGTGTGTGTGTGTGCAGTAAATCCACAGTGTGTGTGCTGGGATGTGGAGTATTTGGTTTTTTGTGTTTATACAGCAGCAGCTCACTGGTCCTGCTGGGATGAGTGCAGAGTCTTAGGAGACGACTGGTACAAACCGCAGCACCCTGCACTGCTGCACCCAGCAACTCAGGAAGGAAAAGCTAGAAGAAAAAAAAACAAGGCTGACACACGGACACGCAGCCCTCACCCACGCACACTGCTCTGTTACTATGGCGATGCAGAAACACAAATGCACACACATGCATAAATACACACAGGCTCATGCAGGAGGGGATTTAATCTAGCTGAACTTTAGTGTAACGAAAGGGAAGTCCACAGAAAAATAGCAGAGATGCTATAAATACCGATTGTTTCAAGTAAAATGTTATCAGATGGGTTTGTTTGGAGTCAGCTGCTGTGGTGGTGCATTTGGAAAAAAAAACCCACAGGCCTGTAGTACAGTGAGTGTGTGTGTTCGGACTGAGCATTCTGTAGGCTTTTATTTAGTCATCATGCAGCGCAGACAGAGAAAATAAGTCCTGCAGGTTTTTCTGTGCCCTCGGAGCCCATTTT